GATTGTAATGATGATGTAGTATTTGATTGTAATTATGCTAGTGGTGGTGGCACACGTTGACGAGCATTTCTTACCAACGCACGTTTGCTATATCTAGTAGAAAAGCCTTAGACATATAGAAAAGAGAAGTTTGACTGGAGACACTCATCGTTTTGCATATCTTTTCTTTGTTGACATTATATTGTAATTGTAACAACCGAACATAACGTGTAAGTTGTTGCTTCTCCTCGATTGAAACAAGTGCGATACCTTTCTCTGGCTGTTATCTATCCATACTTCTATTTCTCTCTTTTCCCATATGTGCTTTGTAGTGGTATTATTAGTTTGTCCTTCTCTCGTACATAATAGAGATAGCCGCAATACCCTTTCCCGTTCGGTCTTCTTCTATTTGTACTTTGGAAGGACACACTTATTTTATTCTCGCCTCGTACATAGTGTTATCCGTAAAAGGTATAACCGCAATGTCTTTTCTATCCGCTATGTTTATCTCTCATACCTGTACTTTGGAACCACACTCTCGACGTGTCGTTCTTTGGTACATAGTGTTGACCATAATTGTAATCTAACCTTTGTTCTTCTCTGAATTTGTCCTTAAACCCGTATTTTTCTGTTATTGTGTTTACTGTATTCTTCAAGGTCCTTCTATGTTAAGAAATAGTATATAAGGAGCGGGAAAAATACAGTATAGGTACGATTTTTGCTTATACTAATAAAGTAGTAGGATAATAGCCCTTAAACAGTGTCTATTATATCTAAAATCGTCACAGTAATATTAGTCGTTGAACTAAGGCATTGTTATCGAAAGAAGGATGTTCTCGCTAAGTACTAACTGAATTGAATGATTTATTATACAATCGGGGGTATTTATATACATGAGTTTAAGAGAAGAGAAAATATTATAGAACTTTAAAAAAGAGATAAAACTCACTAGAAAATGTACTGAAAGATAGAACTCATGAGAAAATCAGAGAGAAAAATGCATGACTAATAGAAAGAACGAAAACATAGATGGAACGTACATATATATAGTAATGTTAAACAACAGGAAAGAAGGAACATACATGTATGACACATCTAACAATGTTTAAGATCACCACGTTTCAATACATACGTAGCGATAAAGAGCGAAAACAAACGGACATGGATATTTATTTATGTTTTGAGGACAGTTAGACAACAACTGAGATCAAGAAAAAGATATATCGAAAACCATATAGTCTAGTATAACCAACATAGGTTATCTCAATCCCGCCATTTATTACGTTGTATCTGTCTGCCCTATTTCTCTCAAGCTCGCGTATTTGCTTGTTCTTTCTTCCTATCATGCCCACTTTTACCAATCATGACTAATGCTATAATCATTTAAACACCATGAAATGTTTATGATGGGTATAATTTGTAATAAAACGAGGATTGAGACAATATACAATTGATCATAGTCTGATGTTTTCGACCAAGTTCAATGTGATTATGTGGTAGAACATAGAACTACTGAGGTAATGACACTCAATAAGGCACGAAGCAGACGTGTATTTATATATACTTTACAAAGATATATGACAGATAGTGATTATTCTCTTCAAATATATCAAAAAACTGTCTAAAAGTACAAAAATCTTCAAAAAAATGTCAGTTCAAAAAATGTTATTCGTTTTTTCTCAGGAGGGAACATTCCCAAGTGATTCGCTATGTTTTGATTCATTCATACCTCATTCGATAGAGTATATTGAGATAAGAAAAAGTTTAAAAGAATTCGTACCCATGGCCTAGTAGTAAAGAGTTATGGTCGTTTAACTGAAATTTTTGAGGTATGTTCAGATTTCCGAAAAAGGAAATTACAGAAACTTCCATAATCTTGAAAACTACATGGCAATGCAAATCAAAAGTTTTTAACAGTGTTGGAAATTTCACTAATTTCCGAAATTTCAGTAAGTACAGAATTATGGAAATTTCCTTTTTCGGAAGTCTGAACACTGCTGAAATTTTTACTGTGAGCCAGGCATTTCGGAAAAACC